AGTAGGCACCCAGCTAGCGAGAGGTTTGCCGAGAGCTTTTCCGGGTGGTTTACCAGGAGTTTCATGCACCAGCCGGGGTCAGCATGGGAGGTGCAATTACTGTCTGGGCTTGCACCCCGTGGGTTGCACCTTCCACCTCGCAGGGATGGAGGTGCAGGGGAGAAACCCCTGTGTTTAATTTGCCACGGGTGCAGAGTAGGGCATAAATTATGGAAACTTTTCTCCCATTTCCTGAGCCTTTGACGCTGCAGAGTTTTGCCTTCTATGGTCCTGGTTTAGCGCTCGGGGTTGAGTGTTGGACCAAGTCAACTACTTTGACATTTATATTGTTGCTTTTTTTAATTTGATTTGAGCTGAGGTACTTCCTAAGCCCCGGTGTTAAAATATCTTTAAAAATCAGAGGCATTTACTTTATAAAAGCTAGATAGATAAATACAATAGGTACTGTGAAGTACAGTTTTCTTTCACGTATCTGCACGCTTTTGCTCCTGTGTGTGCTAGCACTACCAGGTGAAGATTTCTCCGAGGTTAATAAATGGCTTGGCTTAAACTCTCAAACCCTTAATACTAACAAATTGACAAAGTTTAGCAAAGCTTGTAAAAACGTATGGTGCAATAAATGATCCACTTTAGCTGAGCACCGTGTGGATTATCCAGCTCACATCTGGATCATTATTTATCTCCTGAGTCCTAAGGTTTCAAAAAACTTAGCCATGTTTTCTATAAAAGTGCCTGCATACACTACAGTAAAGGGAAGAAAAAGAAATACTATGTGACAAGTCTTCTCACAAATTACATTGAGCAATAATCCAGGCTTCAATTTATGATATTCAGTGGTGAAAAGACTTTGATTAGAAATGCCTCTGGTGCTTTACAAACATCTGGAATAGTTCAAAGGTGCTTGGGTGGCTGTGGCACTCGGGGAGGTCAAGCCCAGGCGCTGCATTGTTCTAGTGATGTAAAGTTTCCTGCTAATGTCCATGCAAACACATGCATGCCAAGTGTGGATTTAGCTTTGTGCTACTCATTATTCTGGGCATGCAGTCATGCCTCCTGCTTTTGATTTGTTAAAATTCATCAGAAAAACTTGGTGATTTAACCAGTTGGAACTGAATTGTCTTGGAGAGAAGAATCTTCTCCCTCAAATAAAAGCTGTGCCAGAAGCTAAATCCCAGCTCCAGACACCTGCACCGAGCCCTCGGCAGGGCCCCTGCCTTCCCCCCCGTGCTCCCGCGCCCGGAGCAGCTGCAGCCCGGCTGGGACGGGATGGGATGGGATGGGATGCGCCAGCATGGGTGGCCCTGCGGGGCCAGGCTGGGGTGCGCTCCCTCCTCAGCACCCTGCGGTACAACCACCCACCGGCTGCAGCAAAGGCCGAGCAGCTCTGCCTGCTGCCACCCATTGCCAAAAGGAACTGCGGCGATCTCGCCCTTTGCTTTTCCTAAACCGTCCAGGTTCTCTGGACCTGATCCAGCAAAGTACAAACACCCCAGCTCAGAAAAATTCCTGCTAGGACAGTACTGCAGTGCACAATGGTGCAGCGCACAACGCGTAGATGCATGTTTAACTGGCAGTGGATGCATCCAGCCCGGCTCCTGCTCTGACACTGGTGCTGGGCGGCTGCTCAGGACCTGTCGGTGCTGCTCCATCTTGAAGGGTTGTTTGGAAGGGTGAGGTAACTCTTCTTGGAGCTCGGGCTCCCCTGGGCAGAAACGCAAATGAAAAAACGTATTTTGTATGATTTTCTCTTTAGTGTCTGGATAAGAATCTTAAACAGCAACAGCCCTGCAGTAGAGACTGAAGCTGTTTGTTAAAAGTGGAAATAGATCTTAAGAATAGAAAAGGTTAAGAAATGGGAAGAAATGTGTTTTCACCGACTCATATAGTTCATTTCAGTAGGAAAAGCTGGAAGTGTCATCTTTGTAACGTACCAGGAAGCAATATATAAACTTTAAGTTAGAACAGCAAACCATTCTCCAAACATTCTGTTTTACCTCCAAAGATGTTTTTGCTCATGAGTCAGAGCTGGTCCCAAGCCAATGGGAATGTTTCTATTTACTTTGAGATTGTGCCTGCAACTGCAAATCCAACTTATTTTTCCTGAGGCGCACAAGTGATCTCTTCCAAGCCTGAGTCTTTCCTCCAAGGATTATAAACCCAAACTACTATGAAGTCCAGCTTTGTGCAGAGCTTTGTGCATCCCTTGGTAAGCGCGAGGCTCAGGCGGGATGAGGGCAGAAACGAGCCCGTCCTCTCCCAGCGCCGCCCCCGGAGCCACGGCGGCTCTGCAAGGGCCGCACTGAAGTTTGGTACTCACCC